CTGTCTGTCTGTCTATCTATCTATCTATCTATCTTTATCGTTCTATCTAGCTATCGTTCTATCTATCGATCGATCGATCTGTCTATCTATCTATCGATCTGTCTATCTATCTATCGTTCTATCTATCGGTCGATCTGTCTATATATCGTTCTATCTATCTGTCTATCATTCTATCTGTCTGTCTATCTATCTATCGTTCTATCTATCGATCGATCGATCGATAGATAGAACGATAGATAGACAGATCGATCGATCGATCGATAGATAGAACGATAGATAGACAGATCGATCGATCGATCGATAGATAGAACGATAGATAGACAGATCGATCGATCGATCGATAGATAGAACGATAGATAGACAGATCGATCGATCGATCGATAGATAGAACGATAGATAGACAGATCGATCGATCGATCGATAGATAGAACGATAGATAGACAGATCGATCGATCGATCGATAGATAGAACGATAGATAGACAGATCGATCGATCGATCGATAGATAGAACGATAGATAGACAGATCGATCGATCGATCGATAGATAGAACGATAGATAGACAGATCGATCGATCGATCGATAGATAGAACGATAGATAGACAGATCGATCGATCGATCGATAGATAGAACGATAGATAGACAGATCGATCGATCGATCGATAGATAGAACGATAGATAGACAGATCGATCGATCGATCGATCTGTCTATCTATCTATCGTTCTATCTATCTATTGTTCGATCGATCTATCTATCTTTCTATCGTTCAATCTATTGTTCTATTTATCGATCTAGCTATCTATCATTCTATCTATCATTCTATCTATCTAGCTAGCGTTCTATCTATCTATCTATCTATCATGTTTTTATTTTATTTGAAGCAACAGCAAGTATCTATATTAACAAATCAATAATTAATATGGCTTCATTTGTTAATATGGCTTAATTTTATTCAGTATATTAAAAATGCATTATTTGCATTTTATTTTCATTAACATTATTTTTTAATCATTGTATTTTGAATAATTTTTTCCCTGCTGTCAATGATCGTATCTGAACAAACCAGATGAGAACCACTAGTTTAGCCACAGTGTTTTGACTTCATTCAACATGAAATGGTCTTCTGCCTGTGTCTAATAATTTATTGCAGGTCAGGTCGTAGTTTCCCAGAGTGTCCTGAAGATAGTGATGTCAAAACCTGCACCCAAGACATGGATCCTGTGGCCTTCAACACCTACACTGAGTTTTTTACCCATGCACACAGTATATGCCATTACTTGCAGAGTGAGCGCTGGCAACAAAGAGCTGAGAACACCATTCACCGGTACAAAGGTTCCTAGATGCATATTTTAAATATGAAAGGTATTTATGTGCATAAAATATTAATGTGAGCCAATGTTCATCTGTGTTTCAGGTTGACTGAGAGTTCAGCGGGGGTTGCGGAGCAGTTGGCCTCCACCCAGCGGATGGCAGAAGATCTGGTCATGGCCCAAAGTGCCGCACTGAAATCCCAGGAAAGCATCCTTCGCAATGGAGAGGAACTCAAGAGCACCCTGCAAGACTCCACTCAAGGTGATGGCCAATACATAAAATAGAAGGAAGTATGCTTATTGAAGTATGATATCTGGTTTAGAATCACTGATGGAAGTGAAAGTTTTAGCAATAAAATGTTAAAATATACATTTATTTAAATAAGAAAAGGTCATGGTAAAATAAAAAAAAATTAATTATATAAAATGAAATTACATTTTATAGGCTTGCTAATTTAGGCATCGCATTATAATGTACAGTACAAAAAAATGGATATTCATTTTGATTTTTAATAAAATTTTATTTTACAGTGTTATTTATTTTT